ATTTATTAAAACATTTTTAATATAATTATTTTTTATGTTATTTTTATTAAAATAATTTAATTAATTTATAAAATAAACTATATTTTTAATAAGCAGTTTAAGTTTAATTCATTAATCTCATAATTTATATATTGTATATTTTTTCTCTTTTCTCCAACCAATGGAATGAGAACAGGCATGCATCTCATAACCACATGACAATTTAGGGTGCCTTAATTCCGGCTCACTCCAATGTCCAATCTATAGGTGATTCTTTTCTACTTTTGAGCCACGTGGCACACCCCACCGACACCGAGTCACTGACATTTGAGCATCAGATGCACATGACAATGGTGCCTAAATTCCGGCTCACTCCAGTCTAGTGAGCTTTTAAGAATTATACAGTTAAAAGTAGAAAAAAATGTATTTTTAGTTTAAATTACATCAAATTATATAATATAAATGGTTAAAGTAGTTAATTCTTAATATTAAAAGATTATTTTTTATTTTATAATTTAATATAATCTAAATTATAAAATATGAAATTCTTAAAAAATACAAATATTAATATTCCTTCATTTTTATTTTTGAGTATATTTGGTAAATTTTAAAAAGTAAATTTCTTTAAAAACACATTTTTCTTTCATAAATTTAAAATTTTGTTGAAGAGAAATTTTTAAGAATTAGTTTTTAAAATAGGTTTTAAGTAAATTTTGAGAAAATTTAAATGTATATATTTATTTTTTAACTTTATACATAGATAATCTAGACATTAGTTAAAGTTTCATAATTATGTGTTAAAATAATACATTTATACCTAATAAAGCTTTATCATCTTTATAAATATATTAGAGTAATAGGATAAGAATAGGGTTTTCTAAATTGTGTTCTTATAGCACAAGTTAATAGTATATTTATTATTATTTTACTATTAATATAAAAAATAAAAGATAACATTAATTTTATTAATTGTCTAATTAAAAATATTCACGTAATATAATTGTTAAAATTAAAATATATATCTAAAAGTTACAATTAGTATACTCTTAAAGCACTTTTTTTTTTTTTTGCCATCTTAAAGCACATCTTAAAAACCTAAAAGTAAAATTAGAATAATAGAATTCAATGTCTTGTATAAATAAAAAATCAGATAATTAAATTTAAATAAGAAAAATTACAAAATTAAAACAAAGGGAGTATAATTTCAACGGCGCTTTTTTTGTTTATTATCTATCGGACTATCAAAAAGCAGCTGCTAATAAGAAAGATAACCTTACATTTAAAGGCCTTCTCCATTAATAGTTAATTTTATTTACTTTGGTGTAGGTAGAATTGCACCAAACATTTTAATAAAATAATTACTTAATGTTTGAACTCAAAGGAAAAAGGCAAAATCCCGAGAAGATTTCAGGCTGCAGACTAAAAACCAACTTCCAAATTCCACTCCCTATAAAGGAAAAGCAAAAGTAACATTTGAAAAACTAGTCTCATCAGAGTTTAGGATACAAACAAACTAAAATAATGACCTAAACCATGCAACAACTTTGTTTTATACTTTAATTAATTATATTAATGTAGGGGAATTATTTGAACCAGTAAAAGGTAGACAATCATGTGACTTCCTAAATCTTTGCGAAAACCTGTTGATTATACTAGTAACAGACAGAGACAGAGACATTATGAGACCCCTGAGAGGTCGAGGGAAATTAAATAGCAAGCATTTCCAGCTCCTGTCTATACAAGATTGTTTGGTTAAGGCCAAGTAATACTATGTAGATTGAATAGCATGAACTAAAAACAATTTAGAATGACGGTAAAAAAAAAAAAAAAATTAAAATTTCACATTAGATGCATATCAAATAAGAAAGGGTTTTTTAGTTAGTATCTTAAAAGTACATATTAGCAACATAATTATTATATTTTTTAATTATTAAATTATATAAAAAATAAAAGTATTACTATTAATTTTAATTTTTTTATATAATTTAATAATTAAAATGTATGATACTACACTTTTAAGTATATGTTAAGAAAAACCAATAAGGAAAACACAATAAGCTCTAGTATGATTGGTTTTTAAAAGGTATTTTTTACTATAAAAACTGAAATTAAATTGAGAGAGTTATTTACCTTGGAAGCCAAAATCTGGAGGCCGGCATACTTAACGTCCCAACTGAACTCCGTTATGGCCCAGCCAATCCCACCAAATTCATTAGCATTTTTAATAACGTAGTTCAAGTAATTCTCATTGTCGGTGGCTTTGTACAGCCACAGGGCTGCCCATAACAACTCATCCTTGTACCCACTCACCGACGCATAGTAGCTCTTCACCACCGCCACGCTTCCGTCATATTTCCCTCTGTATCTATCCCCAAATTCAAACAGCTAAACTCACAGAGAAGAAAAAAAGAAAATTAAACTTTAAAACCCTTAATAAAAAAGGAAAATTGGGTCTTGAATACATTCATTAATAAATTACCTGTTGAGCATGGTGCAAGAGAAGGTGGGAGTAATGTGGGTTTGTCTGCCTGAACACAATGGACGCCGCCGCCATGGCTGCCGCGGTCTCTCCGGCAAGATCCGACCCAGGGTTGTGCTCGTCAATCTTGTAGGCTTGCCGTGACGTGGTCATATCCTCTGGTCGTTGCCAGCAGTAGTGGTCGGTGTCTCCGTCGCCTACCTGTAACAGGGGCAGAACGTTGAGCACACTGAATCAATGCTGTCGGGCATGTTAATTTGATTGATTGTTACAACTTGCCTCCGCCCATAGTACATTTGCGCTGGTGTGTGCCTTGATGAAATAATCCGTGCCCCATTTGATGGCCTCAAATGCATGCTCCAACTCTCCGGCATCGGCGATCTGATCGCCAAATTCGATGACTCCCCACGACAGCATTGTCACCGTAAAGGCCATCGGCAGCCCAAATTTCACATGATCGCCGGCATCATAGTAGCCTCCTACTAAGTCCACCTACACATTAACAACATTAATCATTTAAAATGTTGAGACACCCTTGAAATTATATTATATAGTCCACAATGAAATCAAAATAATCAAAATTAATGTTGGTAATGTAAAATTGAATAGCTGGGGTGAGATTTTTGAGCTAACCCCTTGTTCTAGGCCGTCGGTAAGACCGGAATGGTCGCGCCAGGTGATGCGCTGGTTATATGGTAACCGGCCAGAGCGCTGCGCTTCAAAGTAGAGGAGGCTCTTTGAAAGTGCATCGGCGTAATCAAAAGCACGGATTCCGGGGAGCAGAGTGGCGAATGCGGCGAAGAGAAGGCAGCAGTACCGACGCGTAACTCCGCCATAGTGTGGTTGCGGCTGCTTTTTCTCCTTCATTGCCCCTTCCCTCCTAAACAGAGTTTTTTTAGGAGCAAAAGGAATAGGAAAAGGCAGTATGAGTTGGACTAAAGCAGTTTGCTTTGAAATGTGTCCTTTGGTTTCATTTCATGTGCAATTGATTTTGGAATTTGAATTTTCTTTGTAAAGAAGCGTGATTTATGCAATGGATTATTGCTTTTTCTAACCTTATATATGGGAATAGGCGTGGACTATGGTAAGTGAGATTTGGGAGTTGGGATCCTCTGCACACGTCTTCATTATTTTAAAGTCGGGTAACTTCTTGGATTATTCATTTATTCCGCAGCCATGAATTGCAAATTCAGCAAACAGATTCAGGAACAAGAGGATCCACCAATAAAATAACTCTGGGATTGGACCAAATATCCAAGATTTTTACTAGTGAGATGAGAAGATGAGTACGTAGGGGAAAGCGAGTTGATCTTGTATTTTTAAAAGTTCCCTTGTGGAGAAGGGCGTCGAAAAGCTAATATCATGGCATTGGCACAAACCGAGACATCTGCATTTTCTCTCTTGAGGTGGATCTATACAGCTAACATCAATTAAAAGCTTTGTGGCAATCGTGGAGCAATTAAATTGGAGGTATAGTAATCATTTGATAATGTAACATATGTTATCAAAGTCAAAAACGTTTCAAAATGACAAAATCTCTTCTTCTAAGAGATACTACTGCCCCTAAGTTATGATTACATAGTTAATTATTAGCACTACATAAAAAATATAATCATATTTAATTTAACTATTAAAAATAATTAATAATTATAATTGTTAATTATTAATTAATAAAGTAATTGATATTTATTAGATAATAATCTAAAATAAACTTATAAATTGATATTTTTAAACACTTTAAATAATTATAAGTTTATAAAATTAAGCAAATTAAACACACTAATAATAGTTTTTATAGCCTTAACAATAGAATGCGTGGCTATAACCACAGCTTTACTCCCTCTCAAAATATGTGAGATTTGTGATGTTTGTCTTATATATATTTAAATAGAGATCTATTTATATATAAGTTTACACATCACATTTACATCCTTCCTCTTGTGTGTGAATGGATCTCTATTCATATATATATGAGATTTATTTACACACATGTTTTATGTATCATACTTATATAAAATCTCAATTATTTATTTTTTTACTTTCAATAATTGAAATTTATTCATATTTATTAAAAATAATTGTCTTTTTCATCTGAAAAGACTTATGTGTAAATATATCTCTACTATATATATATATGCCCATTTGTCTTACTTTTTAAAAAGTAAGGGAAAAATTATTTTGAAACTATAAACTTTCATGAAAAAGATTAAAATGCCATATTTTTAAATCATAAACTCTATTTTTAGTTTTTTCTTAATATTTATCAACAGGATTTTTAATAAATTAAGAGGAAAGAATCATGAAACTACTTTTTTTTAGTACAATATTGTATAAAAAGACTAGAACAATATCATTCATGCTATAATAATTTGTTCTTTTAGTAATTTTTAATAAGAGTTTATTGAAATAATTTAGTTTTAAGGTATTTTTCCTCTTAATTTTATAGAAGTTCAACTAATAAACACTATCTCATAATTTTTTAGAGTTTCGGTTAATAAACACTGTTGTTGAACTCCAAGTTGTTTTGATCATAATAAAATCCTTTATGTTATGTTTGGGAACATGTATTTGCATTTAGAGTGTGTATTTTAAATATATCTATTTGAAATGCATGTATTTCAAAATACATTGTTTGGATTAAATATAAAAAAAAAATTTCAAATACATGTATTTTTAAATATATTATTTATATATATTAAAATATTATGCATTTAAAATTGAATTTTTCTCATAAATTAAATCTTCTTTTAATTATCATTTAAATTTAATAAAACTAGTGTTAATAATTTTAATCTTTCAAAGCATTATTTAAATTGTCTCAAAACAAACAAATTAAAACATTAATTAAATATCATTAGGAACGTAGGTTTTCAATAATCAAATCATGTGATTATTCAAATATTTATAAGTTTTTAAATAAAAAAAATCATCATAATATCTTATATCCTCTTCAATTAAAACATTAGAATTAATTAAAAATTTGATATAGTAAAAGAGAAAAAAGTTCCTTTATTTAAACATTTTTACATAACAACTAACCTTTTAATATTTCCTTTCAAAGAGATAATTTATAATTAAATTCTCTTTCATGTCCCTCTAAAAACAAAAAAAAAGGGGGGGAGAGAGAAATTGCTAAGGAAATCTAGCCTACCCATATATTTTCTTCCCTCAAAATTTCCTCAACTTTCTCGAGAAACAAACAGAAGACGCTAATAATACAAAACTCTCATACGTGAGGTCTCGCCTTAAAATAAAAAGTATCCAAAAAAGAAAAAAAAAATTACAACCATAAGGATCTCTCAAATACTAAAAAGAAAGAGTTGAGTCAAAACATATTTGAGCAAAATCAACACACAAACAAGACCCTCACTATGCACAAAATCAAATTCAAGAAAACAGAGA